TGTGAAAGCATTGAAAGGTATTGCAATAATTAAGACGTGATTGCAATAAAAGAAAATTTAACTTCACTCAATCAATAGATTCAGCAAGATGGTATCCGAACCATAGATGCTTGAAAATTTCAATGAAGTGCAAGAACTATTCCTCTTAACCTATTGACAAACCATGTAAGCTCGTGGATTTTAAGTTGAACCAGCAACGATATTTTACAATTGCCTAATGAAACTACATCACAAAGTAAAAATCAGGTAATCAGACAGCGCAATAACATTGTTGAACAGCATCTTTAACAACAAAAAACTCAGTATAATTCTACAAGTGAGGTCTCGGAAGGTAGTGTATACGCAGACTTTACCCTTATTTTGAAAGTAGAGAGGCTATTTTCGATAGACTCCGGGCTCCTAGAAAACATCTTTAATATATTCAAATACACCCTAACCTCCAGACACCCATTCCACATGAGAACTAAGATATCTAGAGGAACCATGGCCACCTATAGACATGACAAGAGAAGCAGTTCTTGTACATAACTCAGCTAACATTGGTCCTCACGAACGGGGACAAAGCTAGCTCTTCGGTTACGAGTTCGGCCGAATCCTATTAGCTTTGATTCAAATCTTGTATTTGTCTTAAGAAATCTATTGAATATATATACAAATTATCAATTTAGAACCTACTAACTTAGAAAGAATAGAATCCAAAACTCATAAGCTTTAAATTCTAGCTCCGCCTCTGCTCATGAATGGGTGAAAATGACTAAGTTGTATGTCCCAAGAAGCCAAGGAAACTAACCACCCGTGACCATCTATCTCAGCACTCAGAGAAATTAATAGCACCAACTTTCCACACAATGCATGTCTTTGCTAACATAACTTTGCTGGTAATTAAAAAGGCAGAATGGCCTAAATGGCACCTATACTTGTGTCACTTTGTCAGGCCGGTCCTCCTACTTCACTTTTTTTTCAGTCAGACACTTTAACCTGTTCAAAATCTATATTTTAAACCCCTCTGACAGTTGACCAAGCACATGTGGCAAAATAATGGTTGAGCTGGAAAAAGTGGGTGTAATTCACGCTCATTATCCGCGTGAATATGAATATGAAGATTTTGAACCAGAAATAATTAAAATAAAAAGAAAAAATCATTAAAACAAGAATGAAAAATAAATAAGTAAAAAAATAAAGAAAAAAGCAAAAAAGATATTCTCTTTCTGTTCCTCCCTTTTCGTTTCACCCCCCCCCCCCTCCTGTAGGCTTCTTCTTCTTCATCCCCCAACCCCCACAACACCCCCTCCCTTTTCGTTCTCCCCTCCTGGACGCTGCTTCTTCTTCTTCTTCCCCACCCCCCACCTCCCACCAAACAACACCCCCTCCCTTTT